TCAGGGAATGATCTGGCATTTCACAGGACATGCAAAGGCCCTGGAGCTGGAATGAACGTGGCATGTCAAGACATATTTATAAGGCCAGAGTGGCTGGGAGAAGGGGGAGTCGAAGCAGGAGGGGGATGATGGTGCCCTGGGGTCCGAAGGGAGTCTGAATTTTATTCATGTGTAATGAGAATCCACATGAAGGTTTAAACAAGAGAATGTTTTGATCCGAGTTCTGAGATTGGCCTAGCTCTGCAGACATGCGCTTTTCTAGAACAAACAAGAACAAACGAATCTTCTCTTTATGGGGGTGCAGGGGACAGGTCGAGAGACCTTGGTCAGGGATTTGTAACTGCACTGAATCTTCATTGCAGCGAGGTGTTAGACAAAGGTTGCCTTGGAGAAATGGAGATGGGACGGTAGTGACCAGATCGATTGATTGATTCTCTCAAAGTGTTGATCCAGGATTACTGTCAGGCTGTGGAGAGGGTCTCCAGTGGTGTCCCTAAGGCTCAGCCCCGGAGTCTCTGCCTTGCAACATTTTTATCCACAAGTTGGCTGGAGACCCAGAAAAGGTGCTCATCAGACATGCAGCTTGACAGGCAGCTGTGAGGGACAGCTAGTGCCAGGATGACAGGCTCAGGATCCTCCACAACGATCCTCCACAGGCCAGAGTGATGCGATGAGCCCAGCGATACCCCTGACTGCATGCAGATTGGGGGCCAAAGCCCAGCCTTGGAGCAGAGCTGGGAGACCTCGCTGGGGAACAACCCTGGAGAGGAGGCAGGCCGGACGGGAGGAGGTGATGATGGCAGCCAGACCCAATAGCATCCCCACACCAGCCTCTCTGTTCTCCACGACAGGGTCCTTAGCCTCGTTCAAGCTCACTTTCCCCATCTGTGGAGTGGGGATGATACTGTCTATTGCCCAGGGGTGTGGAGAGGATTAAATCTGAGCATATAGGTGGATACCTGGCTTCCTGGCTATGGTGGGTTCGTGTCAGACGCAAGCGGCTGTCCCGGGTGGGCAGGTGCTCTGGGCAGCCTTTCAGGGACACACCCAGGCCCCACAGCCAGGGTGGCCCCTCTGTTGTCACTGCACTGCTCCTTCTGGAAATGCCAGCTTCCTGAGAGGCCCACTGACCCCTGTGATGTGTCCAGGGGAGAATGACTGGGCATATGAGCAGGGTCATACTCAGCCCTGCGGCTGCTTCTCCGCCAGCCTGGCTCCTCGGTGGGGGAGGGTGGGGTGTCCTCTCAGGAGCTGAGCGGGGGACCTCCTATGGGCGTTTTTCTGGTACAGGGACCTTGAGCCCTGTGGGTCTTTCAGAAGTTGCTTTGACTTCTCCTTAGAGCTGATGCTTCAAAAGTTTCAGTGGTGAGACTTCTGCGTGCTCATGAGTCGTGTAACATTTTTAATAGAAAGTAACAACCAGAAACCAAACACAAAAGTAGAGGGAATCGTGTGTGATGTACCCATCACACGGCTTCACCGATGCTCAACACAGGGCCAGTCTTGTTTCGCCTATTGCCCCCTTTCTCCCTTCCCCTCCCCCTGCTGGATTATGTTTAAAACAAACCCCAGACATCGTATCTGCAAATGCTTCCATATAGATCGCTAAGAGATAAGGACTCTTTTTTGGTTAGCTAAGTAATACCATTATCATTTAAAAAATTAACACAATTGGCCCTGGCCGGTTTGGCTCAGCGGTTAGAGCGTCGGCCTGTGGTCCGGAGAGACCCGGGTTCGGTTCCCGCTAAGGGCATGTACCTCGGTTGCAGTTTGTCCCCGGCCCTGGTTGGTCGTGCGGGTGGCAGCCACTCGATGTGTCCCTTTCACATCGATGTTTCCCTCTCTCTCTCTTCCTCTCTCTCCCTCCCACTCTGTCTGTACAAAAAATGGAAAAATGTCCTCGGATGAGGATTAAAAAAAAAAAAAAAATTAACACAATTGTAGTAAGTCTAATTCAGAAAAAATCTCTCTCTCTCTCTCTCTCTCTCTCTCTATATATATATATATATATATAACATATGGCTTGTTTTGTAAGTTTTTTGGGGGGCAAGGGGGGCACTCTGGTTTCTGTGACTCCAGATTCACCTGTGCCCTTTGAGGAGGAGGAGGATGAAGAGGAAGGGGATCTAAAACTTGGGACCATGGATTGGCAACTTCTTTATTCCAGTTGTTCCCGTGGCCACAGGGGTGAGAGAGGGGCCTATTTATAGACCGAGTCTAGACGTGGGAAGGGGGAAAGAAAGGGAACAGGAGAGAGGACAGGGAAGAGGGAGAGAAGAGAGAGACTGGAGGGAAGAGGACAGTGGCATTGAAGCTGGCCTTGCCCCACCGCAGCCTTGCTGCCTCCAGGGCTCCAGGGCCAGTGCACCCCTCTGAGGCCCCAGGCCAGAGCACCCCGCTGAGGTCCAGGGCCAGGGCACCCCGCTGAGGTCCCAGACCAGGGCACCCTGCTGAGGTCCAGGGCCAGGGCACCCCACTGATGCCCCAAGCCAGAGCACCCCGCTGAGGCCCAGGGCCAGCACACCCCAGGGCACCCGGCTGAGGCCCAGGGCCAGGGCACCCCGCTGAGGTCCAGGGCCAGTGCACCCCACTGAGGCCCAGGGCCAAGGCACCCCGCTGAGGCCCCAGGCCAGGGCACCCCTATGAGGCCCAGGGCCAGGGCACCCCAGTGAGGCTCCGGGCCAGGGCACCCTGCTGAGGCCGTGGGCCAGGGCACCCTGCTGATAGCCCAGGGCCAGTGTACTGTGCGCCAGGCACCCGGCTGAGGCCCAGGCCAGGGCACCCCTATGAGGCCGTGGGCCAGGGCACCCCAGTGAGGCTCCGGGCCAGGGCACCCTGCTGAGGCCGTGGGCCAGGGCACCCTGCTGAGGCCCAGGGCCAGTGTACTGTGCGCCGGAACCTGCGTTGTGTGTGCACACGGTTATCTCAAGTTCTCACGCCGCCCACGTGGGTGGGTGCTGTTGGCACCAGACCCACGTTGCAGGGAGTCCCTGAGGTTCTAGGACATGACCTGAAATAAGGGGTGGTGCCCGATTCTGAACCAGGTCCATTTGGCTGGCGTCTGCTTTCTCCTGCAGCGCCCCCTGCCTCCAGACCTGGGAGGCCACAGGCAGGAGGCACAGTTGAATCACTTGTTATAGGGGCAACCCATTCCCGCTTCTTCAGCTCTTCCGCCTGCACCCAAGTGCCCTGGCCACCCAGCCCCTTCCACAGGAGCCCTGAGCCTCCTCAGGACTCGGTCACTGCGGGGTGAATGCCCAGCACAGCGGAAGCCTCTGGGACTGTAGCCTGTGCCCGTTCTGATTGGTTGTCAGATGCAGTGACTCTGCTCCCAGGCTGGGTTCTTTGTGTAGTGACATGTGAGTCCCTGTGTGCCCCCACAAGTGTGCACACCAAATGCGTGTGTGTGTGCACGCGTCGGTGTGCGCATGTGAGTGTGCATGTGCTCAGGCGCACAGCGCGTTCCCGGGAAGGCACGGTTTCACTCTGCAGCCAGTCGGCGGGACCCCTGGGGCCTTGCCACGGGCCGGCTGGCAGCGCGTCTGCCAGGCCTCCCAGCTGCAGAGCTCCCCTGGCGGGCACATTCGTTTCCCCTCTGATCTCCTCTTCACTCCCTTCGCCACCTCCTTCCAGCGCCCACGCACGAACAGTTTTCAGAACGGCCTGTGCAGACCACCTCATCCGCCCCCCACAGGAGCCCGCAGAGCAGGGGTAGCAGATGGTTTTGAACTGGGTGGTGGTGACTCTCCTGGAAGTGCCAGGGAGGAAAGTGTCCCCTTGAGAAGGACACTGGTGGGGCACGTTGGGCCAGGAGCCAGGCCAGCAGGGTGACCACACCTGGAGAGAGCCAGCAACCAGGAGCCTAGAGTGCATGGGACCATCAAGCCCCATTGAGCTGATGCCAGCTGCCAAGGGTCCAGCTGGGGCCAGGGTCTGAGGTGCAGGTGGAAGCCTGTTTCGACCCAGGTAAGTGCTCGTGAGTCCCGGTAGGGAGTAACCAACTGCTGGTGCTCCCAGGAAGCGGGCCCCGGTCCAGAGGCCTTATTGTGGGCAGAGGGCCATGCCAGCCAGGGTGGACCGGGCCACAGTGTGGAATCGAGGATTCAGGTGCCCAGCCAGGCTGAACAGGTGTAGACATACTAGTAGTTGACATTTGTGTTCCCCTCACTCTGTGCCAGACACTGTCCGAAGCGCTCTGCAGTCTCTGGTATTCCTGTGAACCAGGTCAGGAAACGGGTACTGAGATGCTCCGCAGCCTGCCAGGTCACGCAGCGGGGAGGTGACGGGGCAGGGCGTGAGCTCCCTCTGTCCTCTTCACGGTTTCTCCTGTCACTCGGCCACTCTGCAGCGAGTCCCCAGGGCTTCCCAGGGCTCGGCCTCAGCATCTGGCCCCGGGCTCAGAACTGCTGGCTCACCCCTGACCTTCTTTTAAAAATATATGTTTTTATTGATTTTTTAGAGAGAGAGAAAGGGAGAGAGAGATAGAAACATCGATGTGAGAGAGAACAACAATCGTCTGCCTCCTGCGCGCCCTCTGCTGGGGATCGAGCCCACAACCTGGGCATGTGCCCCGACTGGAAATCGAACTGGGACCTCTCAGTTCATGGGACGATGCTCAATCTACTGAGACACACTGGCCGGGCTCACCGCTGACTCTTTCGTTGCTGCCTTGTTTGCTTCAGGTCCTGGGCACAACTGAACAGGGAGCGGGGGAGGGTGGTGGGGGGGGTGGATTGAAATTGAAGCTGAGTTCACTCAGCAAGGCGTAGTCTCAGGAAAGGACCTGGGTGTCCCCATTCCCAGAACCACACTCTCGGTACTGGGCCCGCTGGCATGGTGTAGAGACCTCTTCTTGGGAGTCCACTGCTGGTCCATGCTCTCTGGAGAAAGCAGTCTGTTTCTCTCACCTTCTCTGCCTGCTTCCCCTGGGGCCTGGCCCTGCTCAGAGCCAGCCTTCCTGAGCTGACAGTGACCCATCTGTCTTTCTGGCCTGTTTGCAGAGCTCTGGAGTTCAGCAGTGGCAAAGACGAGATCTCCCTGCTGGTGGAGCAGGAGTTCTTGAACCTGACCAAAGAGCACCTCATCCTGGTCACAGAAAGCGCGAGGGAGCTGGAAGCCCCCGGCAGCTCTCCGGAGGGGCCTGGACAGCCAGCGCCCTGCCTCCTCACGCCTCCTCTGGTGGCAGGCAGCAGGGAGCCTCCGCAAGCCTCTGCCATTGCCGGCGACAAGCTTCTGGAGCCCAAGGTGGCCATGTCCATTTTCGGCAGCAGGCAGGACTGCGATTCTGCCATGACTACGGTCACGGGCATCCTACGTGCTGCCAAAGTCAAGCGTGCCAAGGGGACAGATGACGGGGACCACAACCTGGGTGCCTCCAACTCGGAGATCAGCAAGCTCCTGGCCCAGTTCCCCCTGAAGTCCAAAGAAACATCCAAGGCCCCCGACAACAAGGTGATGCTGGAGGAGACCCGTGTCATCAAGGATTTCCTGCAGAACAGCATGTTCAGTGGCCCCCTACCCAGGGAACCCACGGGGCTCCGCCCGTTCCTGCTGCCGCCACCCTCGCCGCCTCCTGCGCCCACCGACAAGCTCCTCGAGCTCCCTGTTCAGAAGAGGCAGCTCCCAGTGTTTGCCAAGATCTGCTCCAAGCCTGAGGCGGACCCCAACTTGGAGGGGCACCACTTAATGGGTGAGTGGGGCCGACAGCAGGGCTGGCAGGTGGGCCGCAAGGAGGAGAGACCCTCCAGGCAGATGCTGCGGCAGTGCCCACAGCATCTTGGTGCCGAGTAGGGCGGACGAGGTGGCCTCTCGGGTGGACACAGCCTCCAGGGGCAGTGTTTGCAGTGCCCATGGGCCCCTGGGCTGAATGCCCATGTACAGGGCACAGCTAATTCCAACGTGCTTTGAGAAGAGGGACAGGCACAAATGACACCCAGCTCGTTTTGCAGTCCACCGGGTATCCAGAGTACACTGACGGGGCGCTTACCCAGCTGAGTCCTGGGGGGACTGCAGAGCAGGGACTGGGAGCAGGCAGGAGGGAGGCGTCACTGGCGGCTGGAGCCGTTTGGCTCCCGATGCAGGTGCCCGTTCTGACAATGAGGCCTGGTCTTCTCTCTGGCGCAGGGGGTCAGTGTGTCAACTCTCCAGGCTCAGTTGAGACTGTTGGCCCTGGGATTTGTTCCCAGCACCCCCAGGGCCTTAGAAAAGGGCATTTCCGTCCCCTAACTGAGGAGGCCACATCCTTCCCTGGAGGTGCAGCCCCTCCCGAGTTCCCCTTCCCACTCCCTGGTCCTACGCTTTGTGCCTCTTCTAAGCCAGCGGCTCAGACTGGACGGCTCCCAGGAGGCAGACTGACGGCAGGGCGCTCGCCTGTGGTCGGTGGTCCCTGGGAGAAAACCAAGAGAGAATGTAGCCCTAGTCTGTGAGCGTGAGCGGCTACGGGGAGACATCTGTATTGGGAGGGCCCAAATCTGGGTTGCAAAGGACACAGGAACGTGGTACCGGCGAGGACATTCTGTGTGCTGGAGCACCGTGGGAAGGCCAAGGGGTCAGAGCTGTGGACAGCAAGCTGGACTCTGGGTCTGCACAGGCCTCCAGGAGCCAGGGGCTCGTTGGGGACGCCAGGCAGTATGTGGGGGAGGCCTAGCCCTGCCTGGAGGGGCGCTTTCCCCCCAGCTCCCTCTCCAGGGGGCTCGCGTGGACATCTCTCCGCCCACCTCCCCACCGTTTCTGTGTTCTGTGTGCACAAACGTGTGGGCAAAGGGAACTTGGCAGGTGTTAGTGTGTTTGTTACAGAAAATGCAGGTGCGGCTGCATCTGAGTGTGTCTATGTGTACGTGTTCGTGTGTGTCCGTCTGCGAGTGTAGTTGTGTCCACGTGAGTGAGTCGGGAGTGGCAGGCAGGAATGTGTGCGTGTCTGGGTACACGGACGCTGGGAGAGGGGCTCTGGAGGGGACTGAGCCACCAACATGTTTAAAGCGACTGGAGGTGTGTGAGAGACTGCAGGTGTGTGGGCCTCTGGGGACAGGCTGTTATTATTAGTGGGTACTGTTATTTCAGTGCGCTAGCTGGGGGCTGAACTGAGCAACCAGAGAAACTCTCAGAAGGGACTCTAGGGGCATGTTTTCTAAAAATGTCATTTTTCTCCTAAATTGAGTCGGGCTAGAGCAGCTCTCTCCTCGGCCGGGATGGCGTCAGCAGGACAGGCCCAGTCCTGCCCAGACTTAGCTCCAAGGCCTTGGGCTGGGCAGGAGCGAGAGCAGGAGCTGGGGGAGCAGGCCCACTCCCAGCAGGTGACAGCGGACACACGTTCCTCTGCTCCGGCAGCGACTGGAACGATCCGAGGTGCCTGTGGTGTGCTCAGCGCCATTGCCCAGCCCAGCTCCATGGGGACCATGGAGACCAGGGCCACGGCCTCTTCCCAGCTTCAACCAAACGATGGCATTTTAATTTGGTTTGAAGAAAGAGGCCCACTGCTAAAAAGGAAATGGGGTGACAGCCACTGCTGCGGAGGTCCCACGATGGCTCAGAAAGTGTCTTCCCCTGGGGGACCTCTTGATCTATTTGGAGAGAGACCTGAGCCTGGCACTGACCGATCTCGTGACTCCTCTGCCTCTCTGCTGACTCCTGGCCCTGGCCTGCAGCCGCCATTCATTGCCTGCTGCGCCCCCTCCCTCAGACCCCCGGATGCACGGCCTCGCTCAAGGGCCACTTCCTTCTAGAAGCCTCTGACCTCAGTCAGAAGCTTTCTCGGCCACCCTCTTCCCCCACTGTGTCCCTCTGTCACCTCACAGCCCCCATCTGCTTTGTCCCAGAGCTATTTCTGGGTCTGTCTCTCTCCCTCCTTGTTGTGAGCTCCAAGGCTGAGCCTGGCTCTGACTCATCAGCGTCCCCAGTACTCAGGTCAGGGCCTGGCGCTGACGAGTGAGCCGAACCACCTGTGAGCATCAGAGCAGGAGCAGAGTCCGTGATGAGGGGCCCGGCTGTGGCTTAGACCACGTGCCTGTGGGAATGGGTGTCTCCCCACTAACTGGATGCTCCCCGAGGGCAAGAGCTATGTCCAAATTTGTTCTTACCTGGAACCTGGCACTATGGAGGGTTAGAAGGAAGGAGGGGAGGAAGAAAGGAGGGAGAGTGGAAAGAAAATAGGTAAAAAGAAAAGGAGGGAAGGAGGGGTGGAAGGAAGGAAGGAAGGAAGGAAGGGAGGGAGGGAGGGAGGGAGGAAGGGAAGGAGGGAGGGAGGGAGGGAGGAGGGAAGGGAGGGAGGGAGGGAGGGAGGATGGAAGGAACTAAAAAGAAGTTCATGAGTGGTAAGACCAGCATGGGTGTGGGCAGTGAAGGCCTCAGGAGGGGTTGGAACTGGACTTGGCTGGGAGGGAGACCCCGAGGGGTCTGGACCTGGGGTGTGTGCTCTGGAGGACCCATTGCTTCGTCTGCAGAAGGTGCCTCCCGCTTCATCTAGCTCTTGGCCTTCTGGAACCATTGACTCCGTTTCCCTCCTACTGTAGAACGGAGCTCAGGCACCAAGGAGCCAGCCAAGGGTCGAGAGAGCCTCTTTCTCAGCCGGTGGCCCCCGAGCCAGAAGGACACCTGTGGCGAGGAGGGCTGCAGTGAGCCCGTGGGCTCCATGTCCGTGGCCCTGCCAGCCAAGAAGTCTGCGTGGCCCACTGAGAAGAAGACTCTGCTCTACGAGTTCCTGGGGGCCGCCAAGAGCCCAGGCGGGCCCCTGAGGCTGCGCAGCAGAGAGGCGGACGGGCTGGAGCTGAAATGTAAGCTGCGCTGCCTGGGGGAGGGGCGGAGGGGCCAGAGACTCTCCAGGCCCGGGGTGGCTGCCATCCAGTGTCTGTCTCAGGCAGGGGCGAGTCCTGTCTTTCTCCAGGCACCAGTTTTTAAACCGATAGAATGGGGGAAATGACCTTCTCTCCGTGTCTGTTGTCGGGACTACAATGGCTAGAGAAATGCTGTTGGCTTTGAGGGGTCACGTGGGCATTATTGGGGGCCAATTCCAACACAGACCTGCCTAAGTATATTCTCTCAAGTTGCCCAAGCCAAAGAAAGGTCCCTGCTTCAGATTATTTGTATGTTGAGATTAGTTATGTCCCTGCTTTCCCTCCCTTGCCCTCTAACAACTGTTTTAGTCCAACTTCCTTTTCTAAAATGGACGCCACTCAGGGGAAACTGAGGCCCCACCTCCGAGTCCACACGCCCACAAGACTTACTGTTGAGGGAGAGAGTTCGGGACTCCTATTCTGAAACAGCTCAGCCACATCGCATTCACTCAGACTAATCTGGGGTCCTACCATAGTGAACTATATAACGCTCTTAAATATTAAAAACAAAAGCAAAAACAATTCCAATAGGGATAGAATGCGCTGTCCAAGGTCCTAAGGAAGGGGCTACTTCAGTAATTTTATAGAAGTGATTTCCAATGGCAAAGCACTTGCTTGTAGGAAAGGTGTTTGCAAAGCACCCGGAGGAACTCGGTTGGCAGTAGGTGAGCACTAGGCCGAGCAGTCTGGTTGGTTTACTGTGGGCAGGCCGGGCACTGCCTCCTTTACCGGTGACTGGTGCAGAGGGTCTCCAAGGCAGACCCCACGGCCAGTTTCGGCCCCTCCAAATCGGCGAGGTGTGAATCGGTGATGTTTTTCTATAGTTGGAAATTCACTGGAACTTAAAGAACCAAGAGGAGCTGAACCGATCTGACCTCTGAGAACAGTCATCCGAGGGTTAACGCTGAGCCTGGCTCTGACTCATCCGTGTCCCCAGTACTCAGGTCAGGGCCTGAGGGTGTCCTGGCCTCTCCCTCCCTCGGTTTCTGAAACACTCTCCCTCTCCCGTGACTTACAGTTAACCCACCTGTGACAACGGCAGACAAGAACAACCTCAAGTACACAGGGAACGTCTACCCCCCACGCTTTGCCACCACCATGACCTCAGCGTCCCTGAACCAGCCACTCTGGCTGAACGTGAACTACCCACCTCCGCCAGCGTTCACCAATCACTCCACCTTCCCACAGTATCAGGTGAGCAGGCGGGGGCTGGGCCCGGCGTCCCAGGCGGCCGTCCCTGCAGGTTCCCGCACGGAGGCCCTTCGGGCCGGCCCAGATCGCAGACGCCTTCACACCAGTTACCTCTCCACTGTGACCGCCTCTGACGGACGACGTGGCACACAGGCTCCAGGGGCGCGCTCACGGATATGCGCATATATTCCTTGTTTCCTTTGAATCCCAGGTCACTCTGGGCTGTGCATTCCAGGGCTGCAGGGCTGCTTCTGGCCTGTAAGAGCCCGGGCTCCCAGGATGGGGCGACAGCATCGTCCTCCCCTGCCCACTTCCTGTGACGTCCTTTATAGCGGATGACAGGCGTCCTCTATTACTGGGACAGTCCGGTTTAGGTCCTTTGTCTCAGAATAATTATTAATAGCGCCCCTTCCACTCTCAAGTGTCCTGGTGTGGGTGACAAGTTATTTGGCCACTTCATTTACATGTCACCCGAGTGGACTCCCCTAAGGTGGCTCACACGCCTGGTCTCGGGCTCAGAGCTGAAATGAAATCAGCAGCCAGTCGGACACAAAGGGAGGGTGAACTATTCGTAGCAGCGTTGGACACGTTCCTCGCAGAACTTATTTATGCAAGGAAAATGTAGTTTCTGTAGTTTGTCTATTTCACTTAATCTCCCTTTAAAAGCTGCTGCCCACTGGGTAGAAGGAGGGAACAAAATCAAATAAATGTCCACTCTGGTTTAAACCATCGTCCAGTCCAATAGCTTAACGGTCCCTTCAGGTAGTGCTCAGCGTGGCCCGGGAAGCTGTCTTCCGTCCGCTCCCTGGCTCCTCCCCAGGGCTTGCCGGTGTGCGGGTGTGTGGGAGAGCGGGACTATGCCCACCAACCTGGGGGGCCAGGTGCTCCGGAATCCGCTGCCCCGGCTGGCCCAGCAAAGCCGGCAGAGAGCAAACAGAGAAGACAGTGGGCTCCAAAGTCTTCTGGTCCCCATCTCTGCACCCCCTCTTCCCACATCCCTGGTCCCTGTCATTTCCTCCTTGACAACAGAGGGCCAGCGGCCATCTCTACCCCATACAAAGCCTCTCTGAGCTGGTCCAGTAGGCTTAGCCCCTGAATCTTCAACAAGAGCTAAAGGGGTTTCACGAAATCTCTTTTCCTCTCCAAAGTTTTGTTTTCAAGACTCTTTTTTGTTGTTGTTTGCTTAACAGGACAGTGCCCACCTTCTCCTCGCCCCACCCTCGAGGGGAGAGGTCAAAGGAGATCCAGGGGGAAATCAAAGCGTGTCCCTTCCACACAAATAATACCCGTCCCTGCACAGGTCCCTGTGTGTGCTCATTGAGTCAGCAACTCCATCACCGGGTTTCGTCCACCCGTGCATGGCTGTGTGCTCATTCACCACTCATCTCTCCACCCACCCACCCACGCGCTCATTATTTATTTATTTACTCATTCATGTAAATCATCTAAAAACAACCTCTGCACTGACTGCAGGCCAGCAATGGCAAGGGGAGGGTGACAGAGGTGACCGAGAAGCGTAAAGTCCAGGACCAGCCAGGAACCACCCACACCCCAGCACTGTGTGCACCCCCACTCAGACAGAGACCACTGCACACTTTCCTTTAGTGTAAGCCCATTCCCCCTGACACGCACTCTTGGGGCTCACCGTGGGAAGGGGATTCACCGTGGGTTGCTTTTCAAGTGCAGGTAATCTCTCTTGCTGTGCTGACTTCTTCTGACTTGACTTTTTGCAGGGGTGAGATTTAGACGTATACATTTTAAAGTGAATGTACTGGAGCAACACGGGCTAATGACCTTATGGACGTTGCAAGTGTGCAGTCGTATAGTACACCAGCAGTATATTGCATGGTGCTTACCACCGGAAATCTAGTCTCCTCCTGTCACCACAGATTCGACCCCTTTATCCTCTTCATCTTTACCCCACCCTCCCTCCTCTGGTCATCACCATACGATTGTCTATGAGTTTGTTTGGTTTGTTCATTCGGTGCTTCCGGTTTTATATCCCGCCGATGAGTGAAATCATACGGTGCTTTTAAGCATAAATGAAGGCCCTTTGTCTTAGGAGACGCGTGTTTGTATTGCAAGGCTGGCTCCCAGGTTCCCTGGCTCTGGGCTCAAGTGGTTCAGAGCCCTGGCTGGTAGGACCCCTGGGCCCTGCAAGGCAGTGTAGGTGCTGACTGAGCCCTGTTGACTCTACAAGTTGACCCCCAGGTGGTAAAGAAGGGCAGCATGATTTACCTTCTCCCAGCTCCCCATGGTCAAGGGGCCTGCGATAATAAAAATAAGGCAGGTTTCGCCATCGCAATCGGCAGACCTGCGTTTAAAGGGATTCTGCTGTTTCCAAGCTGTGTGGCCTTGGGCATGTTAGGCAAATGCTCTGAGCTCCGGTTTCCTCACTTATTTATTGTAATTACGGCCGCAGCAGCAGCAGCCATTTGATTTGGTTGTCAGGGTAATTGAGTCCAAGGATGGGAAAGATCGCTGTAAAACCTAATGTATGACACAGGTGTAGGTTTTTATTATTATTCAGCCCTGATCTTCCTAGGAAACAGGGTCAGAGAGCTTGTGGACCTTGAGGAGACAGAGAGGAGAAGGAGGAACAGTTTATCCTCGTGTCTTTCCCTGCTCGGCATAAGGAATAAAGATGAGGTCCCACCTCCAGTTTGCGCTGCGCTCCTCTGTGGAGGGTGCAAGCCTGGAAGCCTGCGTGGCCAGGGCCGCGTAGCTCCAGGCGCCCTGGGCTGCTGGCGTGAAGGAACTCTGCTCCCGGTTAAGGAGGGAGGACTATTGGAAGAGGCCACGGCCTCAAGCAAGGAAGAATAAAGGTTTATTTACCCTTGCTTGTGATTTTACAGGATTGCAGTTCAAACTAGAAATGTCCTTCAAGTCGTGCAGTGTTGCTTATGCTAATGAATGTGACATCGAGTCCTGAAAGTTTGCCGGGGACAGAGCAGGGATGGGCAGCTGTTCTCGCACAGATCCTAGGCTGGCCGAGCCCTGGCCGGCCTGGGCGGGTGGCGGCCGGGGCATTGGCTGTGCGGGCAGAGCTGAGTGCTGATGGGGTGCAGGCGATGTAGGAGGGAGTGAAACAGGAGGGCACTGAGACCCCGGCCTGGAGCTCACTGAGGGCTGGGAACAGGCGGGCAGCCCATCTGTCTGACCCCTCTGTCCAGGCTCAGGCCACAGTCAGGGTGCAGGGACCAGGCTTTGGTCGCGGTGGTGAGTGGGGCTGCCCTGGGCAACGGGGCTTGGAGCAAAAAGGAGCTCAGCTCGTGCACTGGCTTCAGGCCAGGGGTTGGTGGCAGTGGGAGGGGCCCCACCAGGGTCAAGTGTCAGGTGCCCTGCAGCAGAGAGCAAGGGGGGCCTCCACGGGGGTGTGTGCTCTCAGGGACCTGGAGGTGGGCCAGAGGGGAGTGGGAGGCTTTCCCCAGAACCCCCATCAGGACCCCATGGCTCGGAGGAAGTCGTCAAGGGCACAGTCAGCCATCGACACTTTGATAACTGGCACGAGGTGAGCCCAGAATGAAGGCAGCATCGGCGTGCAGAATCTTCTGGAACGACGTCCTCGTCTAGGAATGCTTCGAATGTTGAGCTGAATCTTAGGAGGAGGCTCGGGATTGGCAGGGAGAGGCAGTCTGAGGCTCACTCGAGGGGTCCTGGGCTGCCCACCCACAGCAGCTGTTCTGCTGTGTGTGTGTGTGTGTGTGTGTGTGCAGGGGGTTACAGTGAGAGATGCTTAACAATACCTAACACATGCAGGTTCCTTACTGTGTACCGGGCACTGTTCTGAGCCCTTTAAACGCGTAGCTCATTCATCATCACACCAGTCCTCACCATAAGGGACGGATACAGTGTGTGTGGCCATGTAGCCACGCGGCAGCAGAGGCCCAGACTAACACACCGAGGTTCACGGTAGCACATTTGTACGTGGAACATACAGCTGCAAACACAAAAGGGAGTACACATGCAGGCATGCTTAAATAAGCGGGTGCAAACCACCACACACACACGCACGCACGCACGCACACAGATGTACGTGGACACCTCGTGTCTTGGGCAGGAAAGGGGTTTGGGGAAAGGAACTTAGAAAAGGGGCGTAGACAACAATAAAGAGAATTTGGCTACCTTCACAGGCTTTACGGTCTTGCACACACGTAATTGTGTAGACAAGGGTAAAGAGGTTCAGAGAGGTGAAGTGACTTGCCCAAGGTCACACAGCCACTAAGGGGCAGAACTGGGATTTAAGAGGCAGGCAGGGTCTTGAAGCTCTTATCTTAAACACTGACCCAAAAGGCTGTGAACCCTGCTAACCAGGGCTCCTTGTGGTGCGAGTTGTGCAGGCCTGGCCTGGTGCCAGCGGGACCTGGCATCTGGTAGGTCTGGCTGGCAGTGCAGTGGGGTGAAAACTGAGTCGAGTGGCTGCCTTTTGACTGGGGGCCCCTTGCCCCACGGCACTGAGCCTCTCCTTCTCTCCCCAGGGCCTGTACCCACAGCGGGCAGCCAGGATGCCCTATCAGCAGACCCTGCACCCCCAGCTGGGGTGTTACCCCCGACAGGTGAGTAGATGACCTTCGCACCCCTGTCCCAGCTCCACGAAGGCCCTCAGGTCAGAAAGACCTTTCTCCCTTGACCTGGTCACCAGCCATACTTTTTGGCCCAGAATACCCACAATACCAACATGCGGGTGGAAACAGACAGCGCCCCCCAGGTGGTGATAACAGTTGGCTCTTACAGAGCCCTCACTGGGTACCAGGCCCTTCTCTAAGGTCTTCACCTGCATTAATCAATTTAACCGTCAACACCTCCCTATAAGGTAGGTTAGAGATGAGGAAACTGAGGCACAAAGATTAAATAACTTGCTCAAGGTCATAAAGTTGACATATAAGTTTGCTGTGGCAAAAATGGCCTCAATATCTCATAGGCTTTCAACAATAAATATTTTCACTCATGGTCTACGGATTGGCCGAGCTGGGCTGGGATTGGATTCAAGCCTGCTCCACACATTCTCCTTTGGGTGTGTGCTGACGATACAGTAGCTTCCGTTCCGGCCACAGCGATGATGGGGTGCAGGAGGGTGGGCAGAAGCACCCAGGGCCCTGCCGCCGCCGCTCAGAGCTGGTACCTGGTGACAGGTGCCCGCCTTCCACTGGCCAGGGCAAATCACATCAGCAGGGCTGCGGAGTCATGTTCCTCCCCTGGCAGTCTGCCAGGTGAAATACCAGACTCCTAGTTAAATTCAGACTTTAGATAAGCAGTGGATAAAGTTTGGGTATCGGTATGTCCCAAATATTGCACGAGCCATACTTATACAAAAATCTTATTCGCTGTTAATTAATTCATTTGAGATGAAATGATAGGAAATTTGAATTGAACTTGATGTCCTGTATTTTTGTTTGCTAAATTGGGCACCCCTACTCCCATGGGAAGGTCGGGGGTGAATATCTGCTGGGCAGTATCACAGTGGCAGAACTGGGGTTTAACCGTGGGCAGTTTGGCTTCAGGGTCCATGATCCCAATCTCCCCGGTGTACTGCCTCTTATACATAGAATAAACCCCATGCCGGCAAGATGGGTGTGCAGCATGCAGGCACACCAAACACAGAGCAGCGTGCTCAGAGATGTTAGTGTCTAGGGGCGGGGTGGGGGTGTGAGGGAGGGGCTGGGACCCTGCTTCATCCTCCGGCTGGCCTGGCGCCCTCACACACGGGCAGACTGGCTCCACACTTGAACTCAGACCCCCCGGCCTCTTCTCCCTCCCCAACGAGCCCCGTCTTTCTCTGCCGACTGCACCTCTGCCCTGAAGTGTGTTAGAATGTCCCGGAGGGTAGAGAAGGGACTGCAGGGAGAGATGACTTTACCCCGCGGGCCGGGCCCACCGCTCTTTCAGCGGCGGGAGCTGCGCATCCTGAGACGGACGGACGAGAGGCAGTCTGGCCCACGGAATCAGCCACGCCACCTCCACCCCACGAGCAGCGACACCACCCACCTTGTTCCAAGGAGAACGCTTTTAGACAAAGCTGTGTATGCGCATATGCCGGAGAGAGTGATACGAGAACACGCCTCCTAGAGGTGGTCACCGTTACTGGTTCCCCGGGTATTTTTCTGGCGACATCTGTGGACACAGACATTTTCAGACAAACGAGGCACCCTGAGCACACGGTTCCATCACTGCTCTTGTCAGCAAGGGTCTGCCCTGGGGATGGTACAGGGCAGTGTACACAGCTCTATTTTATGGTTTTCATCAGTTACATGTCATTGGGGGCACGTATTTGAATAAAGCTTGACTCTCATGTCAGCCTCCTCCCAGGTCCACCTTCTCCCCTCTACTGCAAAAACCAGGGGCCTTTTCTGCCATGCTGACCTGGAAGGTGCCTTCCTGGGGTCACTCTGTAAGCTCTTGGATCTTTCTGACCTTGAGCTCATCATCTTGGGGTTTCGGCACCTGTGTTCAGCTTCCCCAGACCCTATACCCCCACTGGGGGAAATATGGGAGGGCTGGGGACAGGGTAGGGGCTCAGGCCCCCAGAGGGAGCAAGCACAGAGGAATGGAACTCTAAGCAAGCCGCTTACCTTCTCTGAACCCCAGTTTCCTCACCTCTGAGATGGGAATGCGAATGGTCCGACCCCGCAGGGCTGTTTAAATGAGAGAATCCACATGAAGGGCACACCCTCAGCACTCAGTAAGCGCTAGCCTCTGTGAATGTCCTATTAGGTAACATGGGCAGGGCGAGAGAGGGCTGTCAGCATGCTGAACCCCTGAACCACTGGGACCCCAGACTCTTGCTATTAAAGTGGAGATCTAGAAACTTCCCCAGTTTTGACGGAAACTTGCCTGGTGCACAGGAGGATGTCCGCTCCTACAGGAGAGGGCTCTCTGCCATTCGGAGCAGTCAGTGGTGAAATACCATGCTCACGATGTAATGAGCTCCATGTCGTCCTAAGTATTCAAGCAGACACTGAATGGGCTCTACTTTCCTCCTTCCACTTCCTCGCTCTTCCTTTCTTGCATTCACTCAACATATGTTTATTGAGCAGCTACTGTGTGCCAGGCACTATCTTTGGACTGAAACTATATCAGTCAGTGAGACAGATGGGGTTCCTGCCTTGCCAAGGGACATGCTTGTAGGAGCTCTGGTTTTAGGTGGGAGTATGATCCAGGTGGTCTCTAAAACCCCACTGAGTTCCTCTTTGTCTCTAGGGTCCGAGCTGAATTCTGTTGTCCTTGTTTGGCCCTTCTCCAAGACCCACACTGCCCAGTACTGTACCCGCTAGCCATGTGTAGCCATTTATACTTAAGCCAATGAAAATGGAGTAAAATGAAAAACTCAGGTCCTCATTCACATGCTGCATTTCGAGTGCCCTGTAGGCACACGTGGCTGGCGGCTGGCGTTGGGCAGTGCAAATACAGGACATTTCCACCTTCCATCATAGGAGTTCCCACTGGCCAAGGCTGTTCCGTACTTGGAACCTGTTGCGATCCCGAGATAGAAGCCGAAGGTGCTTCAATCTCAACAGCCTTTTTTTTTTGAGATAGTTGAAGACTTAAAGATGAATAAGGGGCTTTGAGGATGGTTATTGACAGAGGGAAAAGAGGCAATAGGGAAGAGGATGGAAATCTTTGCTATTTATTATGTCTCAGACGCTTAACGTTCATCAGCTTACTCAGTCCCCGTACAACGGAGATGGTGTTGGCCCACTTTACAGACGAGGAAACGGACGCTCAGTTAAATTTAGTCACTTGCCTTCTATGTGCTCCACAGTGGCTGAGGGGCACAGGGCTGAGGGTTGGGGCACGTGAGGTCTGGAAGCAGTGGGCTCTGCTGGACCTCACCCCTCTCTCCTCCCTGACCTGCAGGTGACGCCGTACAACCCACTGCAGATGGGACAGCAGATTTTCCGCTCTTCCTACACCCCTCTGCTGAGCTACATCCCCTTCGTCCAGCCCAACTATCCGTACCCTCAGAGGACACCTCCGAAGCTGTCCACCAACCCCAGAGACCCTTCCCCCATGGCAGGAGATGGGCCGCAGTTCCTGTTCCCCCCGCCATACGGGTGAGTCCTTGGCCCCCACTGGACGTCCAGCTGATCGCTAGAAAGCTGCTGGAGAGGGGGTGCGCTGACTTCACTGCTGTGGGCGGGAGGGCTGTGCTGCACCTGGGCGCGTGTGGGTTCCGGATGGACCCGGTGTGGAGGTGAGCAGGCTCCGGGGCTGGCGGGCCTTCTGTCGGCCCATTTCGGGGCTGCAACGGCTGGGTTCATAGTGATGGCACCCAGCACAGCAGGTGGCAGGTGGTGAGCATGGCGCATCTGCCTTTACCTGTTGGCTTGGTTTACAACAAGGCGTGGCCAGGTCATCTTCTTACAGCTCTGCCCCACTCGCTGCACTCTGAGCTCCTCGACTGCTAATCTCCTGAACGTCCCACTGACGTCGAGGCAGGTCCTGCTGCAGGACTTCTGCTGCCTGTTAGGGCTGCCCACGCTTTCCCACCAGCTGCCCCAACGGCGAGGAGAGGGGCTGGGCAGCGGGCAGCCAACACAGACGCCACGGTTAGCCGAAATTCCGCACCAATGGCACGTGCTGGTTAGGTCATCAACGTGTGTTTGCTGTTTTAATGTAACAACACAGCCGCTCATTCCCACTCGACAAGTCTTCACGGGACGTGGACGCTGAGAGGCAGGAGGCTGCGCCCGTGACGCCCAGTGTCCCCGGCACACGCTGGGACACGCGCCCGGTGCGAGAAGCTCGGTTACAGGATCAGGGTCAAACTCGCCAACCCCACCCCGACTCCCCACCTCCTCCTCATCACAGGGCTTCACTGCAGGGCTGACACGTGTCCCCAGACCCTCATTCTTTCAAATCAGCGTTTCCCCGGGCGCCTGGCGGAAAGGAATAAACACCAGCAAGGTTTCCGTCGTCAGGTCTGTTTGGGAAAAACTGCGAAACAAGGAGAAACACGCTTCTTAACTGTTGGAATTCTCCAATCTTTAAGGTCCAAGGGTGCGTGAAGAATGTCCAAAAGGGGGATCAACAACGCTATTTGAACCCCAAACCCACAACCGTGTTTTTTTCTTGCTCCCTTTTTTTTCTTTTATCTCCCCTCTCTCCTCCTCCTCCTTCCTCCTACCCTTCCTCCTTCCCTCTCTCTTGTCCCTTCCTTTTCCTTGTGGGGCGCATCACAAAGCACTCATTAATCCACACAGCTCCTGTGAATTTAGCTGCGCGAGGGGTAGGTGATGGGGACCTAGTCCCTCCCTCTGGAGAGCTGGGAGTGAGTGAAATGTGGGCCCGGTGACGTTAGAGCTGTGACAAAGTGAGGACAGCAAGTGGCCCGAGGGCAGAGGAAGCATCTTTGCTGGGCAGACAGCGCGGGCACCGCCTGAGCAGGCCTGGAGCGGGCGCTCGGGCGCTGGAAGTGAGGCCCCGCATCGCAAGGCGTGTGGCAAGCTCGAGGCCTGGGCAATAAAGCCTTCTGGTTCGATGACGAGATGCATCCCTGAAAAAGTGGGAAATAGGATTGGAAAAGGGAGGCTGGGACTTCATTCCTAAAGGCTTCTGGCTGCCCCACCTGGGGATGTAATGCCGATCTATCCGTGCACATTCTTGCGAGCTGGTGGGCTGCAGGGGAGGGAAACAGGAGAGCGGGCGGGCGCCGTCTGGAGGTGACCACAGGGGTCCGGAGGTGAGCGGAGATGAGCCTGCAGAGTTATCCAGACAGACTCCCGGCAGGCCAGCACGCTCGCCACGTTCCGTGCTGAGACTCTGGGCTCGAGGAAGGAGACTCACTGTGCAACTGGCTGTATGTACTTGGGAGGGAACGTGACCCCGAGGTCTCACTAGCCAGCAGTTGGGGAGCAGCGATTGGAAGCAGTAAGGACAGAGGGTTGAGGCCCGGTCGCTGGCTGTCCGTAGGGTCTGGGAGAAGAAACGGAGCAAGCAGGAGACTAAGGAAGACGCAGTGGGAGGGAGCCTGGGGCCAGGTGGACACATCGTGGGCAAAGGTGGAGAGAACAGCGGGGTCAGCGGGGGGGAACGGTGGCCGCAGAGCGGGGAGGACATGGAAAGTGAGGCCAGAAAACCAAAGCAAGGGGTGTAGGCCTGTGTCCCCAGAAAAAACCATCTGTTCATTCAAAAACTATTGATTGAGCCCTGCCCGGTGCCTCAGTTGGCTGAGCGTCATCCCATGCACATAGAGGTAGTTGTTCCATTTCCTGCCAGGACACGTGCTCAGGTTGTGGGTTCGATCCCCAGTAGGGGGTGTGCAGGAGGCAGCCCATCAAAGCTTCTCTCTCACAGATCTCTCTCTAAACTCATTAAAAACATATTTAAAAACAATATATATGGCAGCTTCCCTCTGCCTGGCACTACTGGAATGAACAAGACCAAGCTTTCCTTCTCTCCTTCCGAGGGCAGAGACAGACCAGGATATAAACAGGCAGCGCGGAGGCCGGCGGCCGGGTTGAGGGGAGGGAGTGCGGGGAGTCCCCTGAGCTGAGATCTAAATGAAGTGAGAGCAGGAACCAGGCACACACGTGGGCGATGCGCGCTCTGGGCAGAACGGGGGGAAGTGCAGCCGCCCCCCAGGGGAGATGTAGCTGGAGCACAGCGCGTGGGGAGAGAGTGGGTGGAATTGGAATCAGAGGAGAAGCCAGGGCCAGACTGCCTAGGACCTGGTGGGCACGGAACGGAGGCGTTTTAAAAGCAGTGGGAAGCCATTAAAACGACGTTCGAACGAGTGAGGACATGTTCTAATTTTTTATCTAGAGGAGATGACGTGGGCCGAGGTATGAGAAGTGGGCAGTAGGGTCGGAGCCGTGCAGGGGTGCAGGGCTGGAGCTCCTGTAGCCGGCTCAGCAAGAGGAGCTGGTGGCACGGCCTCAGGCAGCGACAGCGGGACAGGGGCACGCGGACTGTCTGGAGTCTTCAGTGTCTTGGTAGAGGACTTAGTGATGGCTGGATGTGGAATGGAAAAGCGGGACTCGCGCGTCATCTTAGGGTTTTGACTTGAGCAACTCGGTGAGTGGGACTCGGGGACGCGAAGGTCAGGGCTAGAGCGAAGGTGTGCTGATCAGGCGTCTGGTTTGGGGTCTCTAGAATCTGAGGGGGGAGTGGAGCTGAGAGAGGCAGGTGGCCGTGAGGTCTGGGGCTCAGGCAGAAGTCGGGGCTGATTACAGGAACCTGGGAGCCATGAACATATAGATGATATTAGAGGCCTGGGAGGGGAGGAGACAGTCCAGGGAGTGCGTGTACACAGAGAAGAGAGGAGGCCCCGGGACTGAGCCCTGGGTCTTCGGCAGGTGGAGAGGTTGGGGAGATGGGAGGAACCAGCAAAGGGTCTAAGAAGGAGCCGCGTGAGGTGGGAGAGAATATGGAGGAGAGTGTGGCGTGCAGGAAGCCAGCGGAGGAAATGAGGTCCTGGAGGAGAAAAGGGTGGTGAACAGAAAACCCAGGCAGCGTGGGATGGAGCACCGAGCTCAGCCGTGGTGTTGGGTGGGGGTTACCAGGGTCCGGGTGGAGCAGGGTCTTGGAGAGGCTGCCCTGGGCAGGGAAGGATACAGGACCTAGGCGGAGAGTCTAGTCTCGGGGACATAGAGGGTCAGCGCTTCCTTTGGGTCAGGAGCAAAGGAGAGAACCAAGAGACTAAACCACAGGCAGAGGGAGAGGAAGGAGCTGGGGAGCCCGCCTTCCCTCTGCCAAGTCAGTTTGCGCGCGCGCATCAGCGTACAATCACCGTACGACGTATCTTCCAAACGTCTCTACGGAGGTAAAAAGGGCACACGTAATAATTACACTGGCAATGCCAGTGTAGAAACTGTCCCAGGCAGAGTAGGGACAGGTCACCGTGCCCAAGAGGCAGTTTGAGCTCTGCCTTCTTCCTGCGGGAAGTATTCCTTGATGACCGCCGTCCACATGGGGCACCTGTCCTCCTGTCCTCTAGTGTGCATCGGGTCCAGACCCTGCTCTTGGCAGTTGATCTGATCAGAAGACCTCAACATGAGAAGGGCGTGGGATGGGGTGATCCTATGGGAGGGGGCTGCCCCGAGAGATTTGTTACTGGGATTTATTAAATATGAAGTATTGGTTATTTTATAAATCAGAGTAGAATGCAGGGTGTCTCTGTAAGAACATCACTTGCAATCATTTATACTCCAATAGGTTTTTTGAAAGAGAGAAAGCGGGGGGGTGGGGGGGTGACTGCTGGCATTAGTTGCTTATAGGCACTTACCTCGGGCCAGGCCCTGGACTGGGCGCGGGGTGTGAAGCGGTGCGCTGTCCGGATAATGTCCCTGCTCTCGTGGAACCTGTGTTAGTGGGAAGGGAATTCAACACGTTCGAAACGGAGCCTGTCCACGGGCACTCAGCGGGTGAGCGATACCGCTGCCAGCTAAGGCATCACAACGTAAGGTGGTGGTTTGTTCCACTGCTTCTTGCCCCCCACCCCCCGCCCGTGTCGTCTTATCAGTTCACGGAAGGGTGCCATGCACATGAACGTCTTCCTAATACGCATCTGCCCAGCTGAAAAGGGACCGAGAATCCCCGGCTCGGACTAAATCTATTGGTCTGCGGCAGTTCGCACCGAGCTCTGCTCCGGTTCATTCACAGCGTCCGAGCGGGTGGGGGACGAGGTTGCGGCAGGACCCAGAAGTGAGAGTAAATGGCTCCATCGCGAGCGGTCAGGGAAGGATGCACAGAGGAGGTGGCTTTTGAACTCTCTTTTGAGATGTGAACAGGAGTGTGCCTGGGAGACAAGGCAGAGGGTGCGACTTTCTGCTCCCGGAGGGGGAGGCTCCCATCTTCTCGGCTCTTCCTTCTCCAAGGGTCTAGCAAACGCCCAGGTGCACGGTGAAGTCTCGGTGCTTGCTTCTGGAGCTCGTGCTGGAACCAAGAGCCCAGGTAGCTTGGGCTGGTCAGGGGAGGAGCCCGGGATTGTGGACTCCCGGATCTCACTCTGGGACACGGCCTGAATGCTCTGTTGTTGTGGAGTTTTCCAAGGGACACCCCTGGTAAAGTGCTCAGGACCACAGGTGAGGTGCTTGGATCCGCAGAGGCCCCCTGCTTTGTAGTCGTGGACACGGTGTAGACTCCATAGAAATAATGCCGACAGACTGCTGGGGGCTTCCGGACCCAAGCACGTGGCAGACAGAGCTCTTTATGGCCCTGCAATTGTATCATTTCAGCATATTATTTTCCCAGCACCAGAGCATTTTTATTCTTCTAGAGCTTTTAGCCTCCAAGCCTGTCACGATCATGACAGTCTTTGACAGCCACAAAATTAAAATATTACTTTGCCTTATATCTCCGCCAACATTAAGAATTTCATCATGACATCCATCATCTTTCTCTTCCAGGTTCGGCTCGTCGTCAGGTGGGCCCCTGCTGAACAGCCCCTATTTCCCCTCCAGTGGGAATGGCATCAATTTTTAGGTCTCCTCCTCCTCCCTTAGCGCCCAGATGGGGGCGCGGGGCTCTGGAATTCTGGATGCCGCAACAGCTCGGTAGGCAGTTTGGAAAAGCCAAGGTTGCGACCAGGTCGCAGACGGACGACAGCAAGACCAGACGCATCCGTGGACCGGCACTCACACCCTCACGACCCACACCACTCCCTGCCCCTCAGCGTCATGCTCACGTGCTCATCTACTTATGCACCTGTATTTAGCTACCATGACTGGTTTTTGTTTTTGTTGTTGTTGGTAAAATAGAAGTAAGACACTTAATTTTAGAAAGTTTGTATTTTATGATAAAGGTATGAGCTGCTTGAAATAGAGTGTGCCTGGTTTGGTTTTGTTTTTGGTTTGCTACTGTTCCGTTCTGCGTCATCTTCACTGCTCATCTTCCCCACGAGACTCGTCATTGACTCGGAACACAAAGAGAGACCACGGCAGGAGGCCTCTGGTCGCTAAATGCGGGACCCCAGAGGCCCTGCAGTTGAGGGCTTGTCTCTTATCTTCTGTAATCCCTTCGTTTCTAAACATCCTGGTTTATGTACCTCAGGAATGGACGGAAAAGGGATGCACCCTCCTCTGTCCTCTCCAGGTGACAGTTATACAGAAAAAAAAACAAACAAACCTCTCTGGACACAAGGTGGGAAAATGTGTCTTGGAAATTAATTCCAAAAATAATCCTAAATGTGATGTGCTATATCCATGTAGTGTTTGTATATCAATGCCAAGCTCCAGGTCAGTCTCAATCAATTTTTTTTTTTTCCCTAATCCTCTCCCGAGAATATTTTTTAAATAGATTTTTGAGAGAGAGAGAGAGAGAGAGAGAGAGAGAGAGAGAGACATCGATGTGAGAGAGAAAGATTAATCAGTTGCCTCCCATACGCACCCCTACTGGGGATTGAACCCGCAACTGTTTGGTGTGGGGACAACGCTCCGACCAACTGAGCCACCCGGCCAGGGCTGTCTCAGTCAACTCTTATCAGTGACTTGAGTAAGGACACCGAGAGCATCCCGATCACATTCATGGAGGACACGACTCTGGGAAGGGATGAGCTGAACCAGCTACACGCATGTCCTTGCACCCCCTGTTCCCCACCCGGGGCAGGCGTCACTAAGCAACCGTTCCCCTGAGCCTGGACCAAGCCACAGCCTCATTCTCTTCACAGTGGTCCAGGAGCTGTCATGGATCAAGGCTGATCCATGAAATGAAATCCATGTGCCATTCTCTGGCAAACTGTAACAGGATGAAATTAAAGAGGGGACCTACTTTTGGGTCTGAAAAATAAACTATGAATGTACAGATAGCCAGACATGGTCAGTTCTAGGTTGTTCCATTCCCAACTCTGCCGGTCAGCTGAAAGCTCAGTCCCCCCTGGCCGAGGGGAGGGCCCGGCTGGGCAGTCAGGAGCCGCGATCCAGGCAGCAGTGACAAGCTGGCATCTGGAGGTCACCCGTCTTGGCATGGGTGCAAGCCCAGTGCCCATGGGAGCATCTCTCACCCTCAGTGTGACGCCATTAGCCTCACTGGCCTTTCTGTCTGGGCCCCTGAAAACCAATTTCTCTCCCAGGTTTTCCTAGGACGTATGCCTCCTCCATAGTCTGGGATGCCCCTCAGTCCTCCAGCCCTCTCCAAGGCTGATCCTACTTTTTTTTTTTTAACTTTTTTTTCTTTATTTATTTTAGAGGGAGAGAGAGACAGAAACATCGATGAGAGAGAACATCAACTGGCCACCTCCTGCATGCCGCCCACTGGGGATCAGGCCCACAACCGGGGCATGTGCCCTGACCGGGAATCGAACCGACGACTTCTTGGTGCATGGGTCGATGCTCAACCACTGAGCCACACCGGCGGGGCCTGATCCTACTTTTAGTACGTCATTTGTTGTGTCCTCAGTGCAGTCTAGATTCTCCATGGACTCGGAGAGACACCAGTCCCCTAGAAATCCTCACAAATGCAGGAGCTCCTGGCTTCCCTGACGGGCTTTCTCACATTGTACCTCCGGGTATTCAACAGTGTGCCACTCTCTCTTGGTCTCAAAGTGTTTGAAGGCAAAAGAGAGAAAGGGAAGAGCATGGATTTGCCCTTGGCCAGACCTGGGTTCTTAGCCACTTCCCAACTTGACCTTGGGCTGAACCTCAGTTCCACTAATGGCAATGTTAATTGTGAGGATTAAAAGATAATGTAGGCTTAAGACAGACTTAATGCCCACTTAATGTATTCTTGTGGTTTTAAGATGGTAGAATAATTACGTTTCTGTGTCTCCTCTCTGGAAATTTACCTTCAAATAACAAGGAGAGCAAGAGAAGCCACGGAAACTTCATTCTCAATGCAACTAGGAGGCGGCAGCAATCCCATCCGCTCTGTACAAAGGCAGACATGGGATGGAGAAGTGGTAAATAAATGCCTTGGAAGACCAGGGGAAGATCACGTTGACGTGCTGGCTGAGGGAGACATAACAACATACGACAAATCATCTTCCCATGCAGAGTCCTGAAGGTCTCGAACTGGAGGTGCCAGGCTCTAGGCACCACGAAAGGTGGTGTGGGAGAGAGATGACACGGAGGGGCCGATGTGAGAGGTAGCTCCTATCCGGGCCCCGCAAAGCCAGGGGCCACAAAGAGTTCTATAGGAGACAGGACGTATTTTCTCTGGGGCAACCTTACAGACCACGCGGAAGGACTGTGGAGAGGACGGCTCATGTGGAAAACAGAGATGGAGTGAAATACACACACATCCAATGACAAGCTAGACTTTAACCAAGAGGCAGGAGTTTGGAGGGTCCTCCAAAGAAACTGAACGCACTTGGAGGTACCAATGAAAATTACCGTATGATTATGCCCTTCCGCAAAGAGCTTCCAGTCAACTTTTGGGGACCTGATGCTGAATCAGAATGGACACTCTCCAACAAGAAACAGGTAAAAACAAACGCAAGAGGTAACTAAGAAAAGAGACAGACCATAATATCCTCAGGGAGATAAGATAGTGCTCTTTAAAAATAAGGGCAACATGTTATATGCTTATTTTAAAAAGTCAGAACAAGAAAGCGCTTTTGAAATTAGAACAGTGATAGCTGACTTTTTTTCCCTTTCTTTTCAGTGAGAAGGGTTGGAAGCTAACATCAGAGAGATCTCATGGAAAGGAAAATTTTTAAAAGACAGGGGGTAGATTATGAGATAAAAGATAAGAAAATAAGAGGACTAGTCCAGGAGGCCAAATATCTGGCTAACGGGAGTTCTAACCAGAACAGTGAAAAGAGAGGGGGCAGGAAGTATTGGCAGAAAAACACAAGGACTTTTCCCAGATTGGATGGCCCAGACCCCTGCTCTGCAAAATGCATGAAAAAGCCACATCAAGACATATTGCTGTGCAATTTCTGAACGTCAGGGATAAAGGCAAGATTGCAAGCCTTTCAGAAACACCACATACAAATGTTCAAGAATCAGAATAGCATCAGATTTCTCAACAGTAACAGGGGAGCCTAGAAGATCCCGGGACAGAACTGTCATTGCTTGAAGTGGAAACAAGTTTCAACCTAGAATGAAGATGCTTTCAGTTATGCAAAGTCTCAAGGAATGTACCTCCTTGCACCTTTGTCGGGAAGCTAAGGGAGGATGCGCTCTACGAAGACAAGGAGAGCAAGACAGAGGAAGTGGGGTCCAGGAAATAGGTGCTCCATGGGACGTCGGTGGGAGGGAGGTGGATGGGATTCCTGAGGGGTGCAAGGGGACATCCTCAGCTCCAGCACAGAACCGTGCAGCAGGCCCTGGGAAGCCAGCTCTGCAGCCCAGCTGGAGCAGGAAGTTGGAGACCTCAGATAAGAGGTGTGTTCACGAGGACTGGGAAGGGCTGGAGAAACAGAAACTGATGCTGATTCTGACAGACTGGACTGTGGAAAATTCAAACTTTGTACTAAGGGTTGTTTTACAGTGGCTGGTGGGGGGTGGGAAGATTTGGCGATAAATTCAAATTTTTTAAAAAATGTAACAGTTATTATGAACTCGGTGGTGAACAATATGTATGTGGTCATAATAATAAAAAGCCCAAATACGGATTTCACCTAAATTGTGTTGTGATGATTGTGGGAGGATGGAGATGGAAAGAGGGGTGTGAATAGAGGTAAATCTTCATTGATCATCATAGGAAGTAAGTACATAATATCTACAATGAATTGAGAGGGAGTGGAATTCCCCAAATTATTGAGAAATCTGGGGGTACATCTCGAATACAGAGCCAAGAGTGTCGAAGGAGTCGTCTGTGAGAACCGTGGTTTTGGAGGAGTTGTGGTGCCGGCATCGCTGCGTTCTTCCTCAGCCTTTGAGTATTAGTTGGCTTTTAAGCCATGTGCTTGTATTACTTTAACACAAATAAACATTTATTTAAAAAAGATTGCACATAGAACACTGCCTATCATGGTGTCAAAGATGCTTGAAGAGTTTCCTGAGCTGCCCTGGGACACACCGAGAGCCCCCTCCTGGGATGTCTGAGACTCGGATTCCCAGAAGCCTCTATGAATTTCCCCCCTAAACAATTCCTCAGGAGGAACCTTAGTTAAGGGAGGACCAGAGCCGATGCCCACCTCTCTGGGAGCAGTGGAAACAGAAAACTCCCAGCTCTTCCCTGGGCCTCTTCCAGCCACCTCACCAGCCCATTCATTCAGTGTACATTTGATCCTGAACCGTCCCCCAAAATTCAGGTCCCTGTGCCCTGTGCGCCAGTCAGCCCAAACCCCGAGGCACAGGTGCTTCGAGATAAAGGTTTATTCGATTTGGCCGAAGCGAAAGGACAGAACAGGTCTCTCAAATCCACCCTCTTCCTTCTTGACAAAGAAACAAGTTTCTAGGCGCCAGAACCAAGATTCTGCAAAATACCGTGCATCGGGGACTTGGCCTTTAAAAAAAAATATTTACTTTAGGGTTTTTAAAATGATGTTATTATTATTATTATTATTATTTATCCTCACCCGAGGACATTTTTCCATTTTT